ATATTTCAGCAGTAGATTCATTCGATTAGGCTCATCCTATCGATGGAAGTACCATGACGCCAATCGTGAGGTTGAAGACTTACCGTTTTTTTTTTTTTTTTTTTTTTTTTTTTTTTTTTTTCCTCTCTCTCTCAGTCATTTCAGGAGTGTCGGTTCCATGAATACGAAAGTGTTGATGGTAATCGACATGATAATCGACACTTTCCATAAAATGGTAACAATTACATATGACGATAACGATTTACCCGCCGTAATGAAATTATATTGAACGAAACTCAAATTATTGGAATATCCATGGAAAACAACACGTTTGGCGATAATGGTCTTCATCATAAACTGTACAAACAACATTGTGCGAAATATCGTCTTGAAATTTCTAGAAGAGAACAACATAAGAAATTGGGAAACAAAACGAAAGTAAGATGCAAAACAATTACAAATGTCCGTGGTAAGACAAAACAGTACGCTACCCTGACTACAAAACCAAAGACAAAGGACATAAAGCCAAGTACCCATTTATAAAATACAAAATTCGACGACCAAAGCCTCTCTTTAAGAAGATCAAAATAAATTTTGTGAAACATGTCGAAATATAAATTCAATTTAATTCATTTCAAATTTCTGAACGAAAATAAATATAACAAACAACCGAAGGTCGAGCGTGAGTTCTGAATTTCAAATTTTCAAATATAAAGATCGAAAGAAACAAACCATCGAAATGAAAATTCAATACGAGACCCTCCTAAAAACTTACCTATTAAGGAAGTGTGATCGATAACTGATTTCATAAATTGAATCGATGCAAAACTCGAAGACTCACGTGAGCACTACGTACAGGGATATACCGTAACACGATATCAGGGTAGTTCTCGGGATATGAAGATGCAGATGATTTTCAGAAACGAACGAATACGTCTACAAAGTGCGACCACGTAAGCGTCGGAAATGAAATCAGCAACAACGACACGGATACTTCAAAAAGAAATGACAAAGTTTTTTTGATAAATGATTTTTTGATATATTACGACCAAATGGACATCTGGACAACATAAATTATTCAAGTTTGACGATTGCATGATGATGATAGGAGACTGCAGGGGTTGGGGTTCAACTAGATGGGGAAGTATTTGAACCAAAGTGTATATATATTGATGACAATGACTAAAAGGATTACCAGAGCAGAGAGGTAGAAGGGTAATCCCGATTGTTTCGGTCGCATGCCATTGACAAAACGTGTATTCTGTGAAAGTAAAACCTTGCACGTATTGTCCAATACTGCACGTATGTATCTCAAGGCATTATGCTTTGAACTTGTGAGAAACACCCATGAAGATCGACACCGACTCCAGGTTGATTGACATCTTCTTTTAAGTTTTTTTCCTTCTTTTTTTTTATGTGCTCGTTTAATTTTCATGTTCGGTGTCTTTGTATTAACCGTTGGTTGAGTGTGTGCAGCTACGAGAATTCATGAAGCTTTTTAATTCGCTTTTCCATTGGGTATTGACAGAGGCGTTTAGTTACGATTGGAGATTAACCACAAAATTTTCTTCTAATGTTTTTTTTTATCTTATCGTATTTTGTTTTGTTTTTATTAATTGGAGATTACGTGAACTTTCTCCTTCATTTTTAAAGTGTTTTTCACAATAGTTTTCACACTATTTTCAACTTATCCCACTCGTTATCTAATATGTATTCATTTGTGATTTTTTTGTGGAGGAAACACGCCCAAAGTACCAAATACTTCCGGAAAGATTGCGCGTTCGCGCTCATCGTCGACAAGACAGAGACGCAAACGCTCCTCCTCCTCATCATCATCGTCAGCATGGCAAGGAAGGAAGCGAATTAAACGAGGGAGATCCAGAACATCACGAGATTGTCGACACAAATCACG